TGTCCTGGGCGTTGTTTTACCTCCGGCCTGCTCTTGATTTCTGGTGCCGTCCTGGTCGTTGGCCTGGGTGGTCTATTTTCTTCTCGTTTTGGTCTTTGGGTTGATGCTTGGTTGGTCTGGGGGGGGGGGGCTTCCTTTGATGTTCGGTTTCGTATTTTTTTTTCCGCTGTTCTGTGCGTCTTGGCCTCTGGGGTCATGGACGAGTTTTGGTTGTTGGCGTTACCTTCTTCCCTCGTTCCTGTTCGGGGGTTCGGGTCTGCAGGGTCTTTGTTTCATCTGTGGTCTTGGTTTTTTAGGTTAGGGCTAGTGGCGTCTGCCCCCCAGATTCTTCCCTATTTTCCTTCTCTGTGGTGAGGTAGCTCCAGGGAGCTGACGGGGCTCCCCCCAGAAAACCAGCGATGAATGTAATGAAACGCCATTTTCTGGGCGAGTCCTGGAGGCTCCCCGGCATCCCTTCCTCCCTCTGGTCGGTGGCGTTTTTCGCGTATTTTGACATACCTGTTGCACGTGTTGAGGTGTGGGAAGCCTTTGCAGCTTACCTCCTGAGCGACCCGGATTATGCTTTCGTGATGGATCCTTGTTCCTTCGTGTCCGTACTGGGTTCGTTATGAAGTTTCAGAGTCATCCTGGTTGGCAGACTGCCCGCTCTTCTCATTGGAGGCTTGGCACACGTTTTGTTGGTCCCATGCGCTTGAGTGGCGGGAGGCTCTGATAGTTTTGCATGTTTTCCTGTTTGCGACTTTGAGCATCTCAATGCTCATTTGTTTGCCCCTGCCCATCCGTAGGATGTTGGTGTTGCAGCTTCATGTGTAGGTTCCTTCCCTTTTTGCTGCCTTGGTCATGGAGGATTTGCATACACGTGGCCTGTTGCAACCCGTTCTCGCACTTTCTTAGTCAATATTGACTTATTAAATAAGTGCATATGTGACATACTAATTTATTGTGAATATTTTAGTTTACCTTGAAAAGCTTCATAGAAAACACCGACCTTACCTAACCTTCTTAGTATGTTAAGATAAGCATCTTATTGCTTCGTACTTACAATTATTACGTAATTTATACCTATAATGCGGCCTGTGGTGGCGTCTCCTTTTGGGGGTTTGGGGCTGGCAGGGCAGGCATCTTCTCCTGCCCTCTGTTGAGTTGTCATGGAGTGGGTTTGCTTGGGCGTGGTCGAAACGACCTCTTCCCTCAGGTGGGTTTCCCACCTGTTTCCGGTCCCAAATTGGGACTGTGTGGACCTCCTGTTTATTCTGGACTTGTTCCGTCTGAACCCGGGGGTTTATATTCCCTTCTTTCGGATCACTATTATGTTCCAGGTCCGTTTACTGTTGGAGCCGGGCGCTTGGATGGTGTATCTGGACTTCAAGGATGCGTATCAGCATGTCCCGGTTCATCCCAGATTTAGGGACTGGCTCTGTTTTGTTGTGGAGTGTCAGGGTTTCCGCTTTTCTTGCTTTCCTTTCGGCTTGAATCTGGAGCCTCGCGTTTTCACATGCCTTACTCTGGTCGTGGTGGCCCGCTGCAGTCTGTTGGGTTTTCGGGTTCTAGCCTACCTCTAAGATTGGCTAGTTTGGGCTCCCAGCTGGTCTGCATGTCTGCTCACCAGGGATTTGGTTCTTTCCCACCTCGCCGGGTTCGGGTTCTTGGTAAACTGGCGGAAGTCCCATCTGGTCCCCTCTCTGGTTCGGTCTTGTGTGGAACGCTCGGACCATTTCCTTGTCACTTCCTCCGGCAGCTCTGCATCGCCTGCATTCCCGCCTTCATCAGTTCCTGAGGGGCTCCCGGGTCACGTGGTAGTTGCTTGAGGAGGGTTTGTGGGGGAGCCTGAACATTGCCATGATGGTCTACCTGCCGGGTTGGGTGTGGCTTCCTCGGCTGTTCTGGTTCCTTCGGGAACGTCCCTTCCACCTCTCTTGTGATTGACAGGTTTGGCTTCCAGGGGCTTTGCATTGGTTTCTGCGTTACCGGTTTCCTCTTCGGGTTTTTCGGGGTTCAGTGCCTTGGCGCCTACCCAAGCCCTTGCTCGATGTGTTCACGGATGCGTCGTCTCTCGGCTGGGGCTTTGTAACCAGTGCTCACCAGGCCGGCCAGGGTCGGTGGGATCCATCGTTCCTTCGGGCTCACAGCACTGCGGGAGTTCACGGCTATGTGGATGTCGCCCCGGAGAGTTTGGGTCGCTCATGGATCGACAATCGGGTTCCATTCGAACTGTTCCCCGGTGATTACCTAAACTGAGAGGGGGTTCCTTGCGGTCCTTTGCTCTTTGGGGCTGGTCACTTAGTGACTCGTCTACTGAGTTCTTGGGGTTTGGTTGTCCTGGCTGTTCACGTTTGGGTGGGAGGGAGTGGCTGGGTATCTAATGTCTTGGCGGACAGCCTGTCTCTGTTCATTCGCTTGTCCACGGAATGGATGATTGACGCCACCTCATTCAGTTGGCTCTGCCAGACATTTGGGTTTTTGGAAGTGGACATCTCTGTACCGCTATGGTCGAGGCGTCTCCCGGTATGTGGTGCCCTTCTCCAACTGCAATGCAGTCGGGGTCGACGCCTTTCAGCAGAACTGGGTGAGGTGGGATTACCTGTACCTCTTTTTTTCCCCGGTTCAGCTGTTACTCCGGGTCCTGGCTCGCTTGGAGACTTACCAGGGAAGAGTCGTCCTTCTGGCTCCCTGGTGGCCGGCCCAACCTTGGTTTCAGGTGCTGCTTGCTCGGTGTCTGAACTCAAGGATCTTCTCGCGGCACCGCCTCTTTCAGCAGATCGGTCCAGCTCGGTATGAGGCTGGTTCGTTTTTCTCCTCGAGTCTTCGCATCTGGAGTTTCTAACTTGAGTTTACCATCACTTGTATGGGGTGCAGGTGGCTTCTTTTTTGGTTTCCCACCCGAGTGCTTTATCTCGAAGGAAGTATGAAGTTTCCTGGCGGTCCTTCCGGTTTTTCCTATCACTGCGTAGGTGTTCTTCAGTCTCTGATAGGGTTGTTTTGTCCTTTCGTGGTTGTTCCAGGACCGTCATCTGATGCCGAATATTGTCGCCTCGTATAGTGCGGCACTAGCGGAGCCGCTCCAGCTTGCGTTCGGTCTTGATGTTACTTTTGCCCCATTCCGCAAGCTGTCTCGTGCATTGTTTCACCTGGGGCTGCTCATGCGCCTCCTGAGCTGTCTTGGTCTTTGGACCAGGAGCTCTTTTTTCTGTCTTGTTAGTTTGTGGTGGCTCCTTCGGATCAGGATGGTTTTTCTAAGGCTCTTTTCATGTTGGCATTGGCCTCTGGAGGTCAGGTCGGGGAGCTTCATGCTCTCCTCCGGCGCAGAGGTTTCTGCTCCTTTGGTCCTGGTGGTAGGTTTGTTCGGTTGCAGTAGTCTCCTTGTTTTCTGCCGAAGAATGAGACGGCTGCTTTCTGGAGGGGTCCTTGGGTTGTTGATGCTTGGTTGGTCAGGCCGGGGTTGCATCATGTGTTGTTTTCCTGTTGCGGCTCTCTGCCTTTGTTTGCTTGCAACGGCTTCAGTAGCCACGGATGCGCTTTAGGTTGATCGGGTTTTCCTCCTTCCCTGTTTTTGGTCTCGGGTCTCTCAAGTCATCCACAGGGTTATTAAGTCTATCCACCCTGCATTCTATCCCCGTGCCCATGACGTTCGTAAGTTTGCTGCTTTTGCTGCTGTCTTTGGAAACATGTCCTGGGTTGACATTCTGGTGTACGTTTATTTGAGGTTTTTGGAAGAGAGGGCCAAGTATGCTGCCCTGTGGATCACCAGTGTTGATGGGTAGGGTGGGAGAAATGGAATTATTTACTGAAACATACTGGTGCCTGTCAGTAAGGTAAGACTGAAGGTATTGGAGGGAGTGACCTCTGACTCCATAATGATGTAATTTAAGAAGAAGGTTTTGGTGGTTGACAATCTCAAAAGCTTTACGTAGGTTAAAAAATAACCCAACAGGGAAGTCAAAAGGTTAGTTATGTCATAGAGTTGCGAGTAATTAAAGATGAGTCACTTACAATTACTGTATTATATTTTGGGACTTGTACACATTTCAGTGCAAGAAGCAAGGGAAATAGTTTGGTCTGAAGAGTAAGGGCGCAGTTGTTTATACAGACTCCCTACTCAAAATAAAAGCCATTGCCCATTGTCAGGACAACTGCACTTCCAGCTGCACCCGTGGGGCAGTGTAGGGAACCATCAGCATACTGTATATTATTTGAGAGAGAGAGAGAGAATGCTTTGTGGACAGAGCATCAATATGGCTTAAGGTGTTGAGCTTTGCCTCAAGACGAAGCTTGGGCTGATCTCTAATTTACTTTTTGGGTGGAAAGGGAGGAATTAAAATTGAAAAGGGGTGCAATCTCCCACGGTGCAGGAAAGTGCCGTTGTTGTCTCTTTTAGTACAAATGATAAATCTGGTACATTCTGAGTTCAGTTCCAGTTTATTTATCCATTTGGAACAATGTTGACCTTCAATAAAGAAATTTTGGAGGGCTTCTGTGCAAGGGTTTGGATGAGCTAGTCTAACCCTTTTTATACCAATTTGACGGTTGATTTCAGTAACATGATCACAACGATTTCAGTAACATGAATCACATGATTTTAGGATTATCTTCACGGCTTCGTTCTGCAATTTGTCAAGCCCTCCAGGCTTTCAGAAATAACAAGTGCAGGCATTTTTAGTTTGGGATACTTTCAGGAAAATAGTAATTGGCTCTAGTAAAATTGTCTATTACAATATTTTTACTTACTGTGTAGTTTCCATTTGTACTTTACTTAAATAAGAGGAGGGTTTTAAGTAGTCAATATGTGGGAAAAATTCTGTATAATTATTTGAAAGTTAAATACTGGTAATTATTTAACCATTGTTTTGTAGTTATTTAGATTTTATTCATAGTTGAAAAATGTATCATTTCCTAAGCATCATGTGATGTAAAAACAAAAAAATTACTGCTTTGTATCAATCATTTGATTCCAGGGAAAATATAAGATAAAGACTGTCTAAATATACACATTTTGCTTGCAGAACAATTGTACCATGGTGCTGGAGGCCAGTCGTGGTGACACGAAGGTGGTGCAGCTCCTTGTTGAGTTTCCCACCTCCATTTCCCATCTTCCTATTGTTGTCGCGCCTGAACCCAGTGTGTCGGGTGACAGCACAGGAGTGGTCGGAGTGTTGACTAGTGTGCCCTTGCTGGAGGAAGAGCCTCCACACCTCACCATGAATTTCACTGTGATTCCAGGCCTATCTCCTAAAACACTTTACATCCTCAATGAAAATCAAGCCATATATGATATATGTAGGCATTCTTTTTAGCTTTAAACTTTATGTGCATGTTAATCATTTTGGGCCTGGTAGTCCTACTATTTGTTTTTCTTTTGCATAATGTTATTGTTGTATTGCTGTTTTTCTGTATGGGGTTAATAGTATAGTACACACAGAAATCACAATAGCGTGATACAGTATCCACTCGATTTAACGGCCTATATCGGGCTGTACTCGGTCGTTATTTCCGGAGCTCCGGTATTTCCAAAGTTAAGTGTCGGTAATTTTTCAAGTAACATTATGGTAAGATATATTTTATACAGACAGTCACTCGGTCCACCTTCTACCCTGTGATGTCACAGATTCACGGCACATCATTGTTTTGATTTGTCATGAGGCTGGAGTATTCATTCCGTGACTTTGTTGGACATATCTGCACAATCGAGGAACATCCGTGCACCATGTCGGCTCCAAATGCACTCATTGTGTCAGTGATGGCTGTCTGGTGGGTGGATGGGCAGCCAGGCAGGCAGGGAGAGGCTGGAAGGGAGGTAGGCAGAGGCTGGGATGTAGGCAGGGAGGGAGGCAGGCAGGCAGAGGCTGGGTGGTAGGCAGGGAGGGAGGGAGGGAGGGAGAGGCAATGAGGGAGGCAGGGAGGCGGGCAGAGCTTGGGAGGAAGGCAGGCAGAGGCTGGGTGGTAGGCAGGCAGGCAGGCAGAGGCTGGGTGGTAGGCAGGCAGGCAGGCAGAGGCTGGGTGGTAGGCAGGCAGAGGCTGGGTGGTAGGCAGGCAGGCAGGCAGAGGCTGGGTGGTAGGCAGGCAGAGGCTGGGTGGTAGGCAGGCAGGCAGGCAGAGGCTGGGTGGTAGGCAGGCAGGCAAGCAGAGGCTAGGTGGTGGTGGTAGGCAGGGAGGGAGAGGCAATGAGGGAGGCAGGCGGGCAGAGGCAATGAGGGAGGCAGGCAAGCGGGCAGAGCTTGGGAGGGAGGCAGGCAGAGGCTGGGTGGTAGGCAGGGAGGGAAAGGCAATGAGGCAGGCAGGCAGGCATAGCTTGAGAGGGAGGCAGGCAGAGGCTGGGTGGTAGGCAGGGAGGGAGATGGATGGATGGGTGGAGATGGATGGATGGAGATGGATGGAGAGGAGAGAGGGGTGGAGCGATGGATGTTGAGGTGAAGCAGACAGCGTGAGTATGGGGGTGGGGGTGGGGGGGAAGAAAGGTGTGTCGGTGGTGGGGAAGGGACCGGCTCACCGATAAGCCTAACTCATTTGACCCAGTTAACCAGATGTTTCCTAATTAAATTTGGATGTACATCATATATAATTTTGCTTACAGATTTTGTTCAGTAATATTATTAGGATAATAAAAAATTATAAAATACTTGTTTCATGAATGCTTTATTGTATTAGATGGAGATTCTCCAGGCTGTCTCTGGCTGGCTGGCTGTCTACTGAGCCATTTCCCAGAAGTGCCTTGGATGGGGGGGCAGGAAGTGAGGGTGTGGGGGAGAGCAGGAGTTAGGGAGTGGGGGAGAGGTGCCGTGAGGGTGAGGGAGGGGATGAAAGAGGTAGGTGGCATGCTTGCCATGTGAGGACCCCCTGATGCCAAAACAAACCCAATACCAACCTTCGGTAATATCGACCGCCAGACCGTTATGAGGCTCTAAATGCTGGTCTCCCAAACCGGTCGTTATTACCGGCAGATCGGTATAAAAGAGGCCATTAAATTGGCCTCTTTTATACCCTTACAGTATCCAAGTATGAGTGGATACTGTATATCAAATGAATAAATCCACAAGGGCCGTGATGAGGGTTCGAACTTGCGTCCAGGATGATCCCAGATGCGCCTTAACCCTCAAACCGCTAGGGGCCCAAATGGAATTCACACCCACAGGCGCAAAAAAAAAAAAAAATCCAAAAAATTCTTTCGTCTTATAGAAGTGTTCATTTTTGTTCCCTGATCACGGAAAAAATAACAAAAAAATCGTAGGTGGCATATTTTAGCCGCAATAGGGTAGGGAAGTGTGGCAAAAAAGGGGCGTTGGCAGAGCCTTCGCCAGACGAGGTCTACTCCTGCTCCTACTCGAGGTCTACTACGAGCTGTCAGACGGCAGTTGCCACAAATATATTATTACCTAATTATTTCAATGTCTCTGATTGATTTTTTCTTAGTTTTTTTGCAGTAATATTATTCCATACAGTGAATTGTGGTATATTTATATTATAAAATGTGTGAACCATCGCTGTACTCAAAATTATGGTGTGCATATTAGTGATTCAATTATGTTCATAAAACAATAAACAAATAGTTTTGCTGTTGTTACACTATATACACAGGTTATATATAAGTATTTGCATGTTTTGTACACCATAACGCACTACTAAGTTGGTCTTGTGAGTCAAAAAGCAACGAGGAGTGATCGCCAAACACCAGCAAGCCACTCACTGCCACTCCCTCCCTCAACACCACCTCACTCACCCTCATTCACCTCCTACAATACTCTTTCTGTATTTATTCACTATACACAGACGTTATATATACGTATTTACATGTTTTGTTCACCATAACTGTACATGTAAGCTTGTATGGTGAGTAAACGTAGCTACTCACACAGTCAGCTGATCAGCGGCTGCCCTCAAGGCCAGACGCACTAATATTTGTCCTCCAACAATATTGTTTGTGGTGTTATTACGCTATATACACACATTATATATAAGTATCTACCTGTTTTATTCACCATACCTGAACAAATAAGCTGGTATGGTGCCCAAAGATCATAGTGGCCATCAGTAAACAACATGCCAAGTCGTGCAGACGACGCTGCTCCCTCACCAAAATGGCGGCTCCCAACCTACTCCTCTCGCTGTTATCACACTCTATACACACGTTATATATAAGTATCTACATTTGTGTTCACCATATCGAACCACTAAGCTGGTATGGTGAGTGCAGTCAATAAATGGTGGCCACACACAGTCAGAAAACGACGCCACAACCCTCCCTCCCACAGCCTTACTCCTCCCTCCATGGAGCACAGCGCTAAATATCACCACAATCCTGCTCTTATCAGAATCCTGGTCAGTTTTATCACAGTCAGGGGGCTTCAGTAATACTATCACTGCTAAATAATAGCAGTATCATTTATATTATGGTATTTGTAGGCGATGCTGTGGTCACAAGCTGAACAGCGGTGCTGTGAGCTCGTGCTACGTGCGCCAGGCTTGGTGGCTTGCTTAATACTGACGCTGTAACACCCAAGAATGTTGGCCTGGATTTTTTTTCTAGGTGGCATCTGGCAACTATCGGTCGTGGCTGTACTATAGCTGCCCCTATCTCAGGCGGGGTGTTTAAATTATAGCGCTAGACATGAAATCATATATAAATGATGTGCGCAGTTTCGGTTTTGTCACTGATATCATTTATATATGACATGCGCGGTTTGAGGGTTAATCGACTGAGCCACGATATGGTCAAAAGAATTGCAACCGGGTTTGCTACTGCTCTCATATGGATCCCACAGTCTCTCTGAGACAAACCGGGCTTTTACACAATTTCCCCTGTGCACTCGGGGTTTGTTGACAAGCTATTCTACCTCTTCGCCCTTACTTCAATACACACGGTCCAAGCTGTCCACTTGGACAACTCAACACCTGGGCAAGTGTGGAGTTAGTAGCATCACTATGTATGCTAATTCTGTGGGCTGTGTGAATCCAGTGGCCAGCTGGAATTGTCTTAGCCCATTCATGTTTGTTGCATATTTAAACTTTCTTGCATATGCAGCTTTGTCAGTGAGTGCTTAGTGTGTTTCAAAGAGGAAAGTTATCTTGAATGTGGGAAGTGTAAAACATTGGGGGGGAAAACAAAAATAAACCTCTGGAACAGGTCACCTCTGTCTAATGACTGAAGATTAAGGAGACGCCACACTCCCCATCTCCACACATGAATCTTGGATGTCTTGCCAGCAAACATAAATGGAATAAACAGTATATAATAATAATTTCACATATACGTACTAGTAAAATACATATTTATATGAACTTGAAAAGGGACCCATGGACATGAAACATGAAATGTGTCGAGTATGTAGATCTCGTGTGGTTGTGTTGAGATAATTTCGGGGCTTAGCCTCCCCGCGGCCCGGTCTTCGACCAGGCTTCCTTTTTGTTACACATCCCCAGAAAGCAGCCCGTAGCAGCTGTCTAACTCCCAGGTACCTGTTTACTGCTAGGTGTACAAGGGCATCAGGGTGAAAGAAACTGCAAATTTGGTTTCTGCCTCCACCGGGAATCAAACCCGGGACCATGAATCTGAAGCACTGTCCACTCAGCTGTCAGGCCCCCAGACCCATCCATCCAACTGTCAGGTCAGGTGTGCTCTCCTGAAATGTGGGCCCATGCAGCCAATCTAATACTTATATGTGGTATATTATGCCCTTTTTCTATTTCATAAAAGGATATTATCTGTGGAGAGTCCCTTCGGTTCCCCTGAGCTATACCGAGCTGATGTGTATATATTAGACCGTGGCAACAGTCAATTGAAGGAGTTCTAGGCCTACCGGAGATCAGAGCCAGAACCTGGTCCACTCCAGAGAGGCATGAGGAGCAATGGCCTAAAGACACCCCCATGTAATTGGAAGCAGTCTTTGTCTGCCATTTACCAGGTCAGGCACCCAGAAAGGTAGGAATTCTAAAACAAACTACTGCTGGTCAAAATTTGCAAACCAAAAGTCGAAATAGCAACAGAACTCCCCAATCAATACCTAGGAAACAATTATGACGTCACCACAAACGCCGCGCATCCGTCTGCGCATCCCTCCCCTCCTCTATGCCGGCAACTCTTCTCAGTTCAGAAGGGTTTTGAGAGGCAGACGGTCGATCGACTCTGACTCCATCCTTTGAGCAGTGCTGCAGAGCGGTGGTGGTGTTCAGAATTGGTATTGTGCGAGCCAGGAGTAACACAAAAGTACTGGGACTGCATGCACCTAGGGCCACCTCCCTAGTTGCCCTGTAAGTACTGCCCCTTCGACCTCAGGGGGTCTCTT